GTGCCTATCTAACACAACTCATCTCCTTTGCCCTAACTTGGATCGGGTTAACAAAAAATTTAAAGTCCTCACCTTCCTTAGAGCACACTTTCAGATAAAGATATCCTCAAAATTAATTGACAAGAACCCTAAAGGCCCTGAGATATTTCTAAAATTTTGAAACATTATGAGCATACTTTCATGTGCAGACGTCCAAGGGGTGGTTAGCCACATTGTCCTCAACCTGTGTACACGTAGAGGATACCCATATTTCATGTCTTTCATCTTTACATTCAGAATAAGGGCATATCTGAAAGATAACTACTTGTGTATTTTAGTTATCCTTACTCCATACTTTAGATGCATATTTAAAATTTTTGCAAAAAACTTATGACATAAGGGTATTTCAGGTACATCAAGTCATGTAAACCACAAATTCTCAGGAATCCAACTCGGACTTGCTCGAGTAACCTCGCTCGAGTAACTCAGACTCGAAACCCTGGCAAGTCCAAGTATCTTCGATTAGGTGGTCTGCCCCAGGATTTTAAAAAAAATTAAATATAAAAAATGTACTTGTAGTATATTGTTATATTTTCATTTTTAAATTCCCAGCTTTTTTTCTTTTTTTTTTTTTTTTTGGTAGTTCACTGGCATGAACCCAACTTGGCCATAATATTTCGGATGATTAACCACTAAACAATTAGGCTCAACCAAGATCCCCAAAAACGACACAGGAATAATAATAAATATGGGCCTGGTTTTGGTACACTGAGACCCCTATAACAAAAGTGGTAAAGGCCCTACAATCTGTACTATCCATTATCCTTCTCCATAGATCAAGATAAGTGATTTCGAGTGCAATATGTACCATCCAATATAAATAGATGGTGGCACTTTTTCTAGTTGGCTCCTCGTGTTGCACCTTCGTATAATTTAATTTACTCCAAAGTTGTATTTCCTGCCCAGGGGAAAAGTTGACGTAACAATACTACTTATTGCATTATTACTCTCACACCGCTTTCAAGAATATTCATGTATATAATATATACATATGAATGACAAGTTTCAATCATCATGTAGCTGAGAAAACAAATGCCCAACTTCAATCATTTGCAAAAGTCCAAAATCGTCACTGCTGATAACACGTAGATGTTTCCCCAAAATAATGATTACACAGTTGAACCACAAATTGGTGAAACATGAAAAGGCAAAAGTAAGAAAAAAAATATGTCAGGAATCTATTGTCCAACTTCTTCTAAAAAATAAAAAAAAAACCAATTCTCTATACAATTCAATCGCTCAAAAACTAGATGCACTCCAATAAAGTTTCAGCATTTGTAATAGAATGGAGAAAATAATATTATTGTTGGGTGTTCTAATGCTGACCGGACCAGTAGTCCAATTGACAAGAAATCCACTACCAGATATTGTACATTAGTCGGATGAAACTTAAGAAAAACAAGAAATAAAAAGTAATTGCTTGATCTAGTGTAGAGGCAGAATATAGAGTTATGACTTCAACTACAAGTGAATTGATATGGCTAAAATACTTACTTCCAGATAAAGAGTTCACAATGGTCAATCCAACGGAGATGCTCTATGATAATCGAGTAGCTATGCATATCGCCTCAAATCCAATTTTTCATTAAAAAACCAAGCACATAGAAGTCGATTGTCACTTTGGGGGAGAAAAAGTATAGTAAAAAATTATTAGTATTCCTTATGTTCGAATTAAATACCAACTTGCAAACATCTTTACTAAAGCTATTGCAAAGACAAAATTCCATCAAATACTGTCCAAGTTGGGCTCCTTAAATATCTACTCACCAACTTGACAGGGAGTGTTAACAGTTATAGCAACCATTTATTGAGTTTCATATCTTGTAAAATATACGATATTAAGTTTTTTATATTGAGTTCCCAATTTTGTAGGATTACAATTGTAGTGAGATTTGTTTCCTAAAAGACAAGAATTACAACTCTACAAATCTCTGATAAACCAGATTAATCCTTATGAATGAGATATTGATTTACCTTCCATGAATATATGCACAATTGTCGAACAGCGTATATATTTTGTCCCTCCATTTCTTTCTCTCTCAGCTTTATTCGTTTATCGCAGCCTTACAAGGAGAGAGACATGATTGATTGTTCATGAGAGAAAGTAGGCATGAAGTTTGAAGGAGAGAGAGAGATGATTGGGTGTGAAAGATTTATTTCAAGAGTAAATTTTCCACCTGGAAGTTATGGGGGGTGGATGCTTCAACATAATGTCCCACCTTTCATTTTCATCGCTAACCTATACATTAAAAAGTATAAAAAGGAGAATAAAATTTCTACCTACTAAATTAGAAGATATACTTACCAAAGTCGAGGTAAAAGCTAGAGTGAAATAATTTTCTTCAATTTGAGCATCAACTATTGGAAATCCTAAAAGATTCCTCACTTTTAAAAAAAGCGAGATAGTCTTATAATGACCTATCTAACACAACCCACCTCCTTTACCTGAGGGTGGGATGGGTTAAAGAAAAATGAAAGGTCTTAACCTTTCTTAGAGCTCACTTCTAAATAAAGATCCTCTAAATTAATTGTCAAGAACACTAGCAGCCCCTAAGATATTTCTAAAATTTTGAAACAAGATGCATAGACTTTCTTGTGCAAATGTCCAAGAATGGGATTGGGGTCGTGGTGGTAGCATCACTTGTGCCCCAGTTAAGATTTAAGCTTTCATTCTCACCTAACACATTCAAAAACCACTAACATTTCAAAAACAGGTAAAAGCTCGTCATCTCAAATAATTACCAAAGAAAAAATATCTAAGTGGTGATGGGCCGCATTGCCCTGAACCTGTGTACACTTATTGGATACCCATATTTCATGTCTTTCATCCTCATAGTTTAGACGCATATTTAAAATTTGTGGAAAGAACTTATGACAAAAGGGCATTTCAGTTACATCAAGTCTTGACACCACAAACCAGTGTTAGAAAACCGAGGAAGCCAACTCGGACTCGCTACGCTAACAAATCGGAGTATCTTGAATTAGGTAATCAAACCTGGGGATCTTAAAAAAAATTTATTATGCTTTTTTTATTATTTAGACATTGTAAAATTCATGTGCAAATGACTGCCTTATTATTTAAAAATTGATATTTTTGCAATTGATTATAACTATTATTGTGAAATGTTTATTTGTGTAATTGTATATCCCATAAATTGTGATAATTCCG